AATAATTAGCTATGAAACATAATTTAATATGAAAAAAATGGAAGAAAATAAGATTTCTTTAAATTTTTTTAGTTCTACATGACATTTTAACTGTCAATGTCATAATACTGTTTGCTTTTACTGCAATAAAATACATATATTTGTATTCAGCGATAACTCACGTGTAAAACAGTACCCCCTATGTACAGGTTTTATGGCGTTTTGGGAAGTTACAGGGTCAAATATAGCACGTTACATTTGAAATTGAAATTCGCCAGATTGGTTACGTTGCCTTTGGGACTTTATAGTAGCCCAGGAATTAAATTTACACCCATAATGGCATACCATTTGCAATAGTAGACAACCCAAGGTATTGCAAATGGGGTATGTCCAGTCTTTTTTAGTAGCCATTTGGTCACAAACACTGGCCAAAGTTAGCGTTAGTATTTGTTTGTGTGTGAAAAATGCAAAAAATGCCAATTTTGGCCAGTGTTTGTGACTAAGTGGCTACTAAAAAAGACTGGACATACCCTGTTTGCAATACCTTGGGTTGTCTACTATTGCAAATGGTATGCCATCATAGGGGTAATTTTCATTCTTGGGCTACCATAGGGTCTCAAAGGCAACGTAACCAATCTGGCGAATTTTAATGTGAAAAAAATGAAACACAAGCCTTATATTTGACGCTGTAACTTTTGAAAACACCATCAAACCTGTACATGAGGGGTACTGTTGTACTCGGGAGACTTCGCTGAACACAAATATTTGTGTTTCAAAACAGTAAAAAGTATTGAAGCAATAATATCGTCCGTGTAAGTGCTGTTTGTGCATGAAAAATGCAAAAAAAGTCACTTTTACTGGCGATATCATCGTTGTAATAAATTTTACTGTTTTGAAACACTAATATTTGTGTTCAGCAAAGTCTCTCGAGTAGAACAGTAACCCCCATGTACAGGTTTTATGGTGTCTTGGAAAGTTATAGGGTTAAATATAGTGCTAGCAAATTAAATTCCCTTTACTTTCGGCATGGGTTGTCAGGCAGGTCCCGATAATTGTAATTAATTAAGATACCTAATTATGTAAAAATATTACATAAATATATATGTAGAATTAATATATATATATATACACGTATGTGAATATATATGTGTATATATATATATATATATATATATTTTTTTAAATATTTTTATTTATATATAGGTATATATATAGTGATATATACGTATATATTTATGTATATAGATATATATAGTATTTCGTTCTACGTGTATTTTGATATAAATATACATATATTAATATCACAATACAGTTAGAACGAAATAACACACATCTATATATTTTTTAATTATTTTTTTAAATAATAATTTTTTTTTAACGTATTTACATATTTAATTTTTTTATATTATATATATATATATATAACAATAATTATATATATATATTTAATCAGTATCAGTCTACGTGTAATTTGATATTAATATATATATATATATAATAATATATTAATAGTAAAATACACCTAGACAGTGTGTGCGTGTATGTATATGTGTGTATATATATATACTTAGATCTAAGTATATAATTATATTTTTTTTTACTCTTTATTAACTTTGATTTTATTTCCAGCCAGCAAGGGGACTACCTGTCATTACAGGCAGCCCCCCTGCTGGCAATGCAGGAGGCAGCTATCCCTGCCATGTGATTGTGAGGTCCTCGCAAGGACCTCACTCTCACATGGCCGGGGGGGCTGCCAGGGGGTCGGACGTGCTGCGGGGGGGCTCCCTGGGAGTCCCCCCAACCGCGATCGCCAGCGTGGGACCGCCGGCGACCGGGTAAGTAATGAAAGACCAGAGGGCGTACTATTAAAATAGGGCGTAATAGTACGCCCTCCGGTCTTAGGGGGTTAAAGATGGAAGCAATTCTCCAACTTCTGAACCAAAGCAAAACCTATAATTTGTGCTATTTGTTTGTTCCACTGTAATTTAAGTCTTTCTCTTTAAGTGTACCCATACATATTAAATATTTTTTTAAGAACAGAAATAGCTTTCTTTTAATATCAAATCTGTATGCCAAACACAACATTAAATATGAACAAAATGTTAAAATTGGGAATAAAATTAAAAACAAAACAAGCACATTTTCACAATTTTTATCCATCAAGTTCAACTAAAGCAAAACATCTTAAAATACATTGATGTATCAGCCCTGATTGTTAAATACCTCGTATGTGTAGGATATTAATTCATTTTTGGTTGTTAATACTAACCCTAACCAACTGAGCACCCAGAGGCCTGCTCTTAAACTCCATGGCCTCACTGGACCAGCTTTTTGATTACTTTTGGCGGAAGCTACTCCGTCTGCATCCTTCCATGGACCAGTGACAGACCCCCACCTTACCTCCTTGTCCAATGCAGCCGGTAATCAAGACCATTTATTACAACTCCTCAAGAGGAAGCCCCTATCTAATACTGGAGACCTTCTCGCTCAAGCTGTTCGTACAAGCCTCACAAGAAGCCATCCTTATCGCAAGTCTACTGCAAGCAGAGCATCGGTTCAAAGATATGTCAAAGCTTTACTTGCTCTGATGTGTTTTACAGATTGTCTTCCATAACCTCAGTAAAAAAATAGATTGACAAAAAACAAAAGTGTGAACCTATCTCCATCTAGTCTGTACTCCATGAACTTGCACTTGTATAAAAACATTTATCAAGCTACTCGGTATGTTTGGATTTAGAACACAGGTGCAATTTCATTCCATTATTTAGATTGCAATACTTTGTCAAGAAAATACAAAAGTCAAAATCATTTGATTTGAAAAGTTATCAAAATGGTATTGATTCCGGCAGTGTGAGTTCAATACTACTCACATACATAATTAAACTGTGCCCTTTATAATCTTGATATTTTCTGCAAAAATAATGATGGTTCAATCACAATAAATAATATATTGTAAAAGGGCTGCCAGATTTCGGACTAAAAGAAGACAAGTACACAAAATGGATACTGTAGAACTATTCTAGAATAAAAGAATGACTATGTTAGTAATGCATGAAAAATATATTTTTACATTCATGATCTAATTATATGTACTTTGTACAAACAAATGATCAATGTAAGGTTTTCTTAATATTTACACTTTGTAACAGAGAAAAGATGTAATTGTGCCTGTTTATAATCATTATTTCAATATCTCTGAGCATTTTTATTTACAGGTCTCTCCCGATGTGCTACATTTAGCAGATCCTGTGTTTTGTTAGATTTGTTAGAAATCCTTGGAGTGCTGGTATTTCTATGGAACTTTATTTATGTAATACTGAGCACCAGGTTATGTTTTGTATATAGTGTGAGTGCAAAAGCTTTATTTTACTATAAATATATATACACTGCTCAAAAAAATAAAGGGAACACAAAAATAACACATCCTAGATCTGAATGAATTAAATATTCTTCTGAAATACTTTGTTCTTTACATAGTTAAATGTGTTGACAACAAAATCACACAAAAATAAAAAAATGGAAATCAAATTTTTCAACCCATGGAGGTCTGGATTTGGAGTCACACTCAAAATTAAAGTGTAAAAACACACTACAGGCGGATCCAACTTTGATGTAATGTCCTTAAAACAAGTCAAAATGAGGCTCAGTAGTGTGTGTGGCCTCCACGTGCCTGTATGACCTCCCTACAATGCCTGTGCATGCTCCTGATGAGGTGGAGAATGATCTCCTGAGGGATCTCCTCACAGACCTGGACTAAAGCATCTGTCAACTCCTGGACAGTTTGTGGTGCAACGTGACATTGGTGGATGGAGCGAGACATGATGTCCCAGATGTGCTCAATTGGATTCAGGTCTGGGGAACGGGCGGGCCAGTCCATAGCATCAATGCCTTCGTCTTGCAGGAACTGCTGACACACTCCAGCCACATGAGGTCTAGCATTGTCTTGCATTAGGAGGAGCCCAGGGCCAACCGCACCAGCATATAGTCTCACAAGGGGTCTGAGGATCTCATCTCGGTACCTAATGGCAGTCAGGCTACCTCTGGCGAGCACATGGAGGGCTGTGTGGCCCCCCAAAGAAATGCCACCCCACACCATTACTGACCCACTGCCAAACCAGTCGTGCTGGAAGATGTTGCAGACAGCAGAAAGTTCTCCACGGCATCTCCAGACTCTGTCACGTCTGTCACATGTGCTCAGTGTGAACCTGCTTTCATCTGTGAAGAGCACAGGGCACCAGTGGCGAATTTGCCAATCTTGGTGTTCTCTGGCAAATGCCAAACGTCTTGCACGGTGTTGGGCTGTAAGCACAACCCCCACCTGTGGACATTGGGCCCTCATACCACCCTCATGGAATCTGTTTCTGACCATTTGAGCAGACACATGCACATTTGTGGCCTGCTGGAGGTCATTTTGCAGGGCTCTGGCAGTGCTCCTCCTGTTCCTCCTTGCACAAAGGCGGAGGTAGCGGTCCTGCTGCTGGGTTGTTGCCCTCCTACGGCCTCCTCCACATCTCCTGATGTACTGGCCTGTCTCCTGGTAGCGCCTCCATGCTCTGGACACTACGCTGACAGACACAGCAAACCTTCTTGCCACAGCTCGCAATGATGTGCCATCCTGGATGAGCTGCACTACCTGAGCCACTTGTGTGGGTTGTAGACTCTCATGCTACCTGTAGAGTGAAAGCACTGCCAGCATTCAAAAGTGCCCAAAACATCAGCCAGGAAGCATAGGAACTGAGAAGTGGTCTGTGGTCACCAACTGCAGAACCACTCCTTTATTGTGGGTGTCTTGCTAATTGCCTATAATTTCCACCTGTTGTCTATCCCAATTGCACAACAGCATATGAAATTGATTGTCACTCAGTGTTGCTTCCTAAGTGGACAGTTTGAGAAGTGTATACATATATATATATATATATATATATATATATATATATATATTCAAATAGTGATCAGCACTCTCAGATTTTTGAAGGTTTAAAACTTACAGTTTATTAATCATCCATTAAAAAAAAAGATGAACGTTTCAGTCCCAGCAGGGACTTTCATCAGGATCAGGCATAAAGTAACTTTATGCCTGATCCTGATGAAAGTCCCTGCTGGGACTGAAACATTCATCTTTTTTTTTAATGGATGATTAATAAACTGTAAGTTTTAAACCTTCAAAAATCCAAGAGTGCTGATCACTATTTGAATATATTTGAATTTTCCTGGATTTCAAGCACCCGGTTACCAGTTCACTAAAGCGTGAGTGCAAGGGCTTTCTACATTTTTATATATATATATATATACATACACATACATATACACACACTGATCAGCCACAACATTAAAACCACCTGCCTAATATCGTGTAGTTCCCCCTTGAGCTGCCTTAACAGCTCTGATGCGCATCGAGGCATCAACTCTACAAGACCGCTGAACATGTACTGTAGTATCTGGCACAAAGATTTTACCAACAGCTCATTTAAGTCCTGTAAGTTGCATGGTGGGGCCTCCATGGATTGGATTAGTTGTTCCAACACGTCCCATAGATGCTCAATTGGATTGAGATCTGGGGATTTTTTTTTCTAGTTCTGACGCGGACGTCCCCATTAAAGGCGCTTACAGCGGTGGTCAGGGGTCATCATGGGTATTCTGACTGGTCTGCGGCTATGCAGCCCCATAAGCAGCAAACCACAATTCACTGTGTGTTCTGACACATTTCTATCATGGATAGCATTACATTTCACAGCAAATTGAGCTACAGTAGCTCTTTTGTGTGATTAGACTAGACTCGTTAGACTGTGCTCCCCACGTGCATCAATGAGCCTTGGGCATCCATGACCGTGACGCTGGCTCACTTGCTGTCCTTCCTGCACTACTAACCACTGCATACTGGGTACACCCTACATGACTTGCCATTGTAGAGATGATCTGATTCAGTCATCTAGCAATCACTATTAGGCCCTTGTCAAAGTCACTCAGATCTTTTCACTTGCCCATTTTTCTTGATTCCAACCAAATGAAATTCAAAAAGTGACTGTTGCTGCCTTTTATATATCACCCTTAACAGGTGCCATTGTAACAATATAATCAACGTAATTCACTTCACCTGTCAGTGGTTTTAATGTTGTGGCTGATCAGTGTATATTATTATTATTATTTTTTTTTCTTCTTTTCTACCAGTTTAAGGCCTTGATTGGCGAAGTCCAGCAATAATAGGAGTCAACCTGCCAAAATTCTATACTTAGTTTAGGGGAGAGGTAGTGTTGTTTTATTATAATAAAAGGAAACTAGGTGTACCTCAGTCGTATGGACACTGTCTGACCAAAAATAACATATATGGTCCAGCTAATAGCATATTGGTGCCATGGTCCTGTCCTTGTAACCCTGCGACGTAAAACATTGCTGTTTTTAAGAAACTGCAATGTTTATAGTTCAGAGCTAAATCCACTAGAGGTGCTTCTGAGGCACTGAACAATTAAACACCAGTCACATGATGCAGAAGCCCCCATAGGAAGACATTGAATCAATGCTTTCCTATGGGAAGCTTGGATGTGCATGTGGTGCTCGCCGCATATGCGCATCTTGTCCCCAGTGATCCTCAATGAGGAGCTTTGGATTGGACATCCGTGGAAGAGTAAAACCTTTGTCTCGCTCCATCCACCAACGTTGTTGCAAATGGGGGGGCTGGGAATAAGGGGGTTTAATGTGTTTGTGGTGAGTGTGTTGGCTGGGTATAATATGTGTGTGCCAGCATTATTTAACTTGTATGCGTGTGTGGTATGTGCTGGCCTGCTGGGGACGCCCACCGGGATACTTCCTGGTGGGCCCCCCAGTCTTGAGCCGCCCCACCCCTCAGCACCGGGCCGCTCCTCCAGGTGCCCAAAGGAGCTCTGTCACAGTATGGCAAAGCAGGCACCTTCTTACCTTGATGACAGGTGCCTGCTCTGCCATCAAATGCCGGTGACCGGAGGAAAGGGGGATGGAGCAGGCAGGCAGCGAGGGAGGCTCTTCTTGCAGGCTCTCACTCCTCCCTCGCGCGCCCTCTGTGATGCTGGAATATGACGTTATTCCAGCCCAGGCATACTAAACAGCGGGCGGGAGGAGTGAGGAGTTGCTCCACACTGGACCCCAGGGTGGTGAGTGTTTGTCTGTGAGTGAGTGTATGTCAGTGAGCGTGTCTGTCAGTGAGTGAGTATATGTCTGTCAGTGAGTGTTTGTGTGTGTGTCTGTCAGTGAGTGAGTGTCTGTCAGTGAGTTTCTATGTGTGTGTCAGTGAGTATGTCTGTGTGTGTGTGTTAGTGAGAGAGTATATGTCTATCAGTGTGTGTGTGTCAGTTAGTGAATGTCGGTCAGTGAGTGTGTGTGTATGTCTGTCAGTAAGTGTGTGTGTGTGTATGTCTGTCAGTAAGTGTGTCTGTGTGTGTGTATGTCTGTAAGTGTGTGTGTGTGTGTGTGTATGTCTGTCAGTGTGTGTGTGTGTGTCTGTCAGTGAGTGTGTGTGTGTGTGTCTGTCAGTGAGTGTGTGTGTGTGTGTGTGTGTATATCAGTGAGTGTGTGTGTGTCTGTCAGTGAGTGAGTATATGTCTGTCAGTAAGTGTGTGTGTGTGTGTGTCTGTCAGTGAGTGAGGTGTAGGTATGTCAGTGAGTGTGTGTCTGTATGTGTCTGTCAGTAAGTGTGTGTATGTGTCTGTCAGTGAGTGAGTGTATGTCTGTCAGTGAGTGTATGTCGTGAGTGTGTGTGTGTGTGTATGTCTGTCAGTAAGTGTGTGTGTGTCTGTCAGTGAGTGAGTGTAGGTCTGTCAGTGAGTGTGTGTATGTGTGTCTGTCAGTGAGTGTGTGTGTGTGTGTCTGTCTGTCAGTGAGTGAGTATATGTCTGTCAGTGAGTGTGTGTGTGTTAGTGAGTATATGTCAGTCAATGAGTGTCTGTGTGTCAGTGAGTGAATGTCAGTGGATTTCTGTGTGTGTGTGTCAGTGAGTGAGTGTATGTCTGTCAGTGAGTGTCATTGAGTGAGTGAATGTCTGTCAGTGAGTGTGTGTCAGTGAGTGAGTGTGTCAGTGAGTGAGTATGTGTGTGTGTCAGTGAGTGAGTATGTGTGTGTGTCAGTGAGTGTGTGTGTATGTCTGTCAGTGAGTTTGTGTGTATGTCTGTCAGTGAGTTTGTGTGTATGTGTCAGTGATTGAGTGTATATCTGTTAGTGAGTTTGTGTGTGTCAGTGAGTGAGTGTATGTGTGTCACAAGTGTGTGTGTCTGTCAGTGAGTGAGTATATGTCTGTCAGTGAGTGTGTGTGTTAGTGAGTATATGTCAGTCAATGAGTGTCTGTGTGTCAGTGAGTGAATGTCAGTGGATTTCTGTGTGTGTGTGTCAGTGAGTGAGTGTATGTCTGTCAGTGAGTGTCATTGAGTGAGTGAATGTCTGTCAGTGAGTGTGTGTCAGTCAGTGAGTGAGTATGTGTGTGTGTCAGTGAGTGTGTGTGTGTGTGTGTCAGTGAGTGTGTGTATGTATGTCTGTCAGTGAGTTTGTGTGTATGTCTGTCAGTGAGTTTGTGTGTATGTGTCAGTGATTGAGTGTATATCTGTTAGTGAGTTTGTGTGTGTCAGTGAGTGAGTGTATGTGTGTCACAAGTGTGTGTGTCTGTCAGTGAGTGAGTGACATGAAGGGAAATAAAAATGGATCCTTGCCTAGGGCAGCAGAAATCCTTGCACTGGTCTTGGCTGTGGCATCTGTTTTATGGGGTTTAGCAAGGTTCCTGGATCCCTGGTGGTCCAGTGGTGTATTCTGGAACCCAGGTAGTTTAGTGTGGGAGCGTGAAGTTTAAACTTCTGGTAGGTGCACGAATCAGTAATCACTCCATCACGGTTCTGCCCTGGACTAGCCCTCACTTTCCCATGGCAGGGATAAAGGTTAAAAAAAAAGGCTTCATGCCCAGCACCCAGAACTATATGTTGTGGACTTCAGGCGATACAATTTCCACATACCTGCCTCTCTTTGTCATCGTCCCCCTACACCCCACATACATACATATGCAGTCACATACAAATATGGACACGTGCACAGTCACTTACAAACAAAAACACATGCAGTTACATACACACACAAAATCAACTGTCACAACAATAATCACACCCAGTCACATGCATACCTAGACTAACAGTCGCATATCTACAGAAACAGTCACATGCATAGTCACACACAATTGTGCACACAGAGCCAAACACATGCAGGCACATGCACTCAGTCTCATACAGTCAAACACACACAGTGACACAATCTACTGCATCGTACCTTTATGGGCACCAGGATGGACTAGATAGGTCCCTGGTTCTTAGTGGTGGTGAAGCAGGGACTTACAGCATGTGGCACAGTTAGCAGGCAGAGGATGATGGCATATCATTATGCAACTGCAGCCAGGGAGAGAGCAAAGAAGAAGCTCCCTTCCTGCGAGACCTGGGTCCTCCTGGGCCAGACTACAAAGAGTGACTGGTGACAGGTATGCTCTGTGCCCTCTCCTCTTGCCGGTCACCTTGAGCAGACCGCCCTCCTCCCCTCTGCTCCTGGTAAGTGTGCTTCTCAGATCAAGTATTCTCTGCTTAGTATACAAACAGAATATTGGCATAAGTGTGCTTCTCAGATCAAGTATTCTCTGCTTAGTATACAAACAGAATATTCACAGAGCATGGAAAGTACACACATAACTGCATTCATATATTTCAGCAAAATCACTGGATTATATAAAATCTATAGATTGTAGAAGCATATGTACGCATAGTGCTATAGTGATTGTGAAAGGACATATCTTGCTCTGTACTGGCATTCTAATAGAACGGCATAGAAGGCTACATAGACACAAAAATCTGGAGCACAAGAGAATGGAGAACAAATGAGGATAAAGGCACTTACTTCTCCCTGGCTTTCATTCTGCTATTATCCTGAATGGAGATGAATCATCCTATACTTGTTTACTTTACAGCCATTTCTAACAGATCCCCACGTGTAGTATAAATGAGGTCACATGCTGGTGTAGGCCAGCATTATTCAATGATTCCTGCATGACAGCACAACCAAAAGAGAACATTACCTGCACACTATCCCAAACCCCTATATATTTAAATAATAGAGGTTTTTAGCAC